TGTTTGTTTCTTCACATCTAAATTTGTTCCCTTCGGTGTTTCTAAGAGCCCCTTCTATGATAATACTTTCTTGCTTACCTAGTAACCCCACCCCTCCAAATCCCATTCTTCCATCGATGCTGTCCCTGTAGGTCCTTAGAGGCCTGAAGTGTGCAGTGTTGGGGAGGGTCACCTGAGGACACTCTGATCATTCATTTCGCCCATCACTATTTGATCCCATGACTAATGGCAGTCGACTTGGGATGGGTGATGGGACAATAAGGAGGGGATAGGTGGGATTGAGGGATAGACAATAGAAAACAGACCAGACAAGTAGAAGAGAAAGGAAAATCTCCCAGACAGAGGAAGAAGGAAGGAATTTCTTGCTAGCACTCTCCCCCACCCCATTCTTCTATGTCTCCTCTGTCCAGGTGAGCACCTTCGGATCTGTCCCCAGGAGTACACCTGCTGTTCCAGTGAGATAGAGCAGAGGCTGACTTGGGAGACTGAGGCCACCTTCAGAGGCCTGGTGGAGGAGAGCGGCTCATTCCTGGTTCACACACTGGCTGCCCGGCACAGAAAATTTGATGGTGAGGAATTGGTGGTCCCCACACCTGGCCTCACCCCTCCTCTCTGTGCTCATGACCCCAGCAAACATCATGTCTTCACTCCCTAATTCATCCCTAAGGCATCCGAACCCTGGCTTAGCCTCTCTTCAGCCTCCTCTCCAGGATCTGTCCCCCACCCCTTTCCCAGCCTGCCCAGGTCTCTTGAGAGTTCCTGAGACTCTAACGCACTCATCTTTTTTCTTCCAATCCCCATCTCTTCCTGCCTCTGCCCTTCCAATTTTCCATCCTTCTCTGGCCTCACCCCAACTCACACCCCTTTCTCTGCATTTGCCACAGAGGTTTTTCGGGAGATGCTCTCGTCATCTGAGCACTCTCTGGCCCTGCTCTTCCACCGCTCCTACGGCCACCTGTATTCCCAGCACGCCCCTGTATTCACTGGCTTGTTCTCTCGGCTGCGGGACTACTATGAGAGGTCCGGTGAGGGGTTAGAGGACGCTTTGGTGGATTTCTGGGCACAGCTCCTGGAGAAAATGTTCCCCCTGCTGCATCCACACTACATCTTCTCCCCCGACTACCTGTTTTGCCTCACTCGCCTCGCCTCCTCTCCTGATGACTCTCTGAAGCCTTTTGGGGAGGCACCCCGCCGCCTCCGCCTGCAGGTGAGAGGCCCCGAGGCTTGAGCTTCAGCCACCTCTGACCTGGTGACCTCTGAGCTGTGCACCACTCACCTCTGGCCCAGTGACCACCCCCCTCATGCTCCAGTCACCCCTGACCTGGTGATCTCCTCATCCTGCATGGCAGACGTCTCTGACCTGGTGACCCCTAGCTTGAGCCCCAGTCCCCTCTGCCTGACCCAATGCTCTCTGGTCTCCTTTGACTGGGTATTCCCTCACTCTCATCCGGTGCCCTAATTTCACACAAATCCCTGACCCTTTCGCCTGCTCTTGGCCCCTAGCCACCTTTCTGCCAACTGCTCCCCAGTCCTAATATCTTGACTTTCTCTGGTTCAACTAAACATGAATTAGGCACTTAATAGTTGAGACAGACTTTCATCTGTAGTATCTCATTTAATTGTCATAACCCTTGGAGGTAGAAAGTATTATCCCTATTTTATGGGTAAGAAAACTGAGCCTCCCAGAAGTTAAGGTCTCAGAGCCAGTGGTAGAGCTGTGTCTCATACCCAGATCTTCTGGCTTTCAGTTTATTGTTTGCTCTGATACATCGTTTCTCTATTTCCAAGCCCTGTAAAACACGATCTCTCTGTCTTTTCCTAAGACCAGTTCCCCTTTATCCTTCTAGACTGCAATTCCTTTGAACCTGCTTCCCTGTACCACCTGACACTCCTAACTACCCCAACGTAACTCCACAAACCTGGCCCCCCAGTGCTTGTGCCCTTGGTTCAGTCTCTTGGTCCCTGTCTTGCCTGAATCATGACTGACCCTGTGGTTTCTCTCACCTTCTTTCCCCTACCCCAGATAACCCGGGCCCTGGTGGCTGCCCGGGCCTTTATCCAGGGCCTGGAAACCGGAAGAGATGTGGTCAGCGAAACACTTAAGGTTAGAGGGGACCTGAGTGTGGGCAGGGCCTAGAGAGGGAGAGGCAGAAGTAAGAGAAGCCCTATGAGAAAGAGTCAAGTGACAGCTTGACTGGAGAGGTATGGGGCCTTCCCATATCAGCCCCAAGGCCCTGGGATCCAGGGTAAATCAGGAGGGGGGGGAGGCCAGAGTGAAGTCTCCCTTGTGTCATGATCCATGATCTCCTTCCATTCTCTGACTCTCTTCTGCTCTCTGATGACTCCCCCCACCCCACCCCTGCCAGCTTCTGGTGGTCTGTTTATCTCCATAGCAGCCTGAGATTGAAGTAGTGCCT